CCTCCAGGCGCTCCACGGCGCTGGGTTTCCGGGCCCCACCATCTGCTGGCCGCCGAAGCAGGTACCCGGGGACCTTGGTTCGAAGGCAGAAAGGTAGGGCTGGGGCAGCAGGGGACGAAGAGGCCAGCGTGTCCATAGGCATGGCTGTTACATACCCTGAGGGCTTCTGTCTAAGGAGATTCGGAGAGATGAGGCAGATCCAGGCAGAAAGTTGGCAGCTGGATGCCGGCAACGGCCTTCTCCCTTGGAGAGGTGGGTAGTTTCAAACCACTGACCCTCCTTTGTTGTGGTGGTGGTTATGCGCCGCCAAGTCAGAACCGACTCCTACTCGACCCTCCAGCGGGTCTTCAGAGGCAGTAAATCGCATGGGAGGAGACTGCTTATCCTTCTCCCACGGAGCAGCTGTTGAATTCAGAGCACATGCCTCCGTCGGGATTGCATTTTACCACTAGGCCAGGAGAGCTCCCTACTGACCTTCCTGGTTGTGCCCCGCGCGCTGCCAAGCCACCCGGAGCTCAGGTAACCCGCGTTTGCGCAACTTCCGGCGGCCGCGGGCAAGTGAACCCGGCCCAGGTGTTGTTACTCGAAAAAAGGAGAGAGCCAGGTGGGAACTGCAATTCGAGCCCAGCCGCGCGAGCAGCAGGCTGGGCACAAGGGAGCTACCCGGCCACCTTGGCACGCCCCACGAAACGCTCCTGGCTCCTGAGGACTCCGTGATCTGGAGCCAGAGCTACAGGAGTCCACACTCCCCGGGGTGAAAGGTCTCGGAGAGGTCGGCAGCTGGGACCCTGTCTGGGAGTGGCAGCTTCCTAACGCAGCCCGAGAAGCTCCGACCCGGAGGGTCTCTTTGAGTCGCCTTCTGCACCGGAGATAGGGGCTCTGATTATCCGAAGGCCCCACGGGAACAAAGGTCCCGGGAGCATGGGGCATATATCTTTTTTAAAAAGCACAAAAGGCTACTATACACATGGACCTCATCTGATGAACTACTCAGGAATCAGATTGACTACATTGGTGGGGAGAAAAAAAATCAGTGGTGAAGACAAACATCAGCTGTGAAAACCAGGCCAGGTGCTGACTGTGGTACATCAACTACTCAAGTGCAAATTCAAATTGAAGCCAAAGAAAATGAAAAACAATTCTCAAGAACCAAAATACTACCTTGACTCTATCCCACCTAAATTTTAAAACTATCTCAAAACAGTTTTGAGGGAGGCATTGAACTCTAAAGATCAAAGATCAGACAAACTGTGGATGACATCAAGGATATCATTTATGAAGAAAGCAAAAGGTCATTGCAAAGACAAAGAAGGACAAAAAAGATCAAATGGATGCCAGAAGAGAGACTCTGAAAATTGCTCTAGAATGCTGAGAAGCCAAAAGAAAGAGAAGAAATGATGAAAGAGTTCAATGGAAGATTTCAAATGGCAGCTCAAGAAGTAAATACAAAATATAACAAAATATACAAAGAGCCAGAGTCAAAAAATTAAAGCAGATGAACTCACTCATGCATTTCTCAAGCTCAGAGAAGTGAACAACAAACTCAAGCATTGCAAGTTGCAATACTGACTGATGCTATGGGCAAAATATTGAATGATCTAGGAAACATCAAAAGAAGATGAAAGGAATACATAGAGGCACTATACTAAAAAGAATTTGCTGTCACAGAACCATTTCAGGAAGTAATGTACAATTTTTAAAAATAAAGTAATAAAGGGGAAAGTTCAAGCTTCTCTGAAGCACTAGCTAAAAAATAAGGCCTCAGGAAATGATAGAATACTAACTGACAGATTCCAACAAACAGATACAGCCCTGGATGTGCTCACCAGTTTATGTCAAGAAATCTGGGGGACAGCTGCTTGGCCAACTGACTGGAAGAGATCCATATTTATTTTCATTTGTTTTTAAAAGTGTTAAAATTTTTTTTTAAAAAAGTGATCCAACAGAAGTCAAAATATCAAACAATATCATTAATATCACATGCAAACAAAATCTTGCTGAAGATTATTCAAAAATTATAGAATACTATATCAACAGATTACTTCCAGAAATATAGGCTGGATTTAGAGGAGGCCATGACATTAGGAATATTATTGCTGATGTCAGATGGATTGTGGCTGAGATCAGAGAGTACTTGAACGATATCTTCTTGTGTTTTATGAACTATATAAAGACATTTGACTGTGTGGATCACAACAAATTATAGCTAATATTGAGAAGAATGGGAATTCCAGAACACTTGATTGTGCTTTTATAAAGCCATACCTAGGACCAGGAAGGTGTTGTCCAAACAAAGCAAGGGAACACAGCATGCTCCAAATCCGAAAAAAGGAGTGCATGTGTCTGGGAAGTAGCCTTCCTTCATACCTTTTCTATCTATATTCTGAACAGATCATTTGAGAAGCTAGATTTTACCAGAAGAATGTGGTATCAGGATAAGAGGAAGAATTATTAACAACTTGCGTTATACAGATGACATAAGCTTGCTTGCCAAAATTAAAGAGAACTTGAAGTGCTTTCTAAAGAAGATCAAAAGACTACAGTCTACAATATGAATTGCTTTTCAACATGAAGAAAACAAATATCCACAACTATGAGATATCATCTCACCCCAGTAAGAATAGACAAATTTAACAGAGCAGCAAACATCAAATGCTGGCGAGGTTGCAGAGAAACTGGAACCCTTATTCACTGTTAGTGGGAGTGTAAAATGGTGCAACCACTATGGAAACTGTATGGCACTTTCTCAAAAAATTGCAAATAGAAATACCATATGGCCCAGCAATTCCACTACTGGGAATTTACCCTAAAGAAACCATAACCGCCATCCAAGCAGATATATGCACACCCATGTTTATTACGGCTTTGTTCACAATAACAAAGAACTGGAAACAACCCAAATGCCCATCAACAAATGAATGGATAGAGAAGTTCTGGTATATTCACACAATGGAATACTACACAGCATTGAAAAATAAGGAACTCATGAAATATTATACAAAATGGATGACCCTGGAGGACATTATGCTGAGTGAACTATCTTAGTCACAAAAGGACAAATATTGCATAAGACCACTGTTGTAAAACGGGACTGACATCAAGGTTGAGGGAAGATAGAGAGGAGGCGGGGGGAATGATGTATACTGCACTGAAACAGATGAGGGAGAGAACTGTTTAAAAAGGATATATGATTAGGCATTATTGTCATGACAGGAGTCCAGAATGGAGGCTGCACAGTGGAGTGGACTTGGGGGGAGGGATTGCATAATGATGAAAGAGTTTTTCTTTTACTTTTCAAGAAGACTGAATTGGTGGGGAGGGGGTGGACAGGGAAGCAATGAATCAATGGAAACTCTAAGTCTCTGTAAATTTTCATTAAAATTAATTTTTTAAAAATTAATAATTTTTTAAATAAAGATGCTGTGGCACCAACGATATCATTGCTGATGTCAAATGGATCTTAGCAGAGAATACCAGAAGAATGTCTAGTTGTGTTTTATTGACTAAGCAAAGGGACTTGATTGTGTGGATCATAATAAACTATAGTTAACACTGAGAAGAGAAAAAAAAGAAAACAAATATCCTCACCACCAGGCCAATAGGCAGCTTCATTCATAATAAATGGAGAAAAGAATGAGGTTGTTAACAATTTTATTTGGATCCACAATCAACACTCTTGGCACCAGCAGTCAGGAAATCAAAAGAGTTGCTGCAGTGGGAAAATTCACTATCAAGAAAATCCACTATCCACTATTCTCTTACCACTCAAGAATGCTAAAGAATGATAATGTCAGTCTAAAGACTAAGGCCCAGCTTAGTCTAGCACCTTTGATCTGAGCTGTGACATTTTAAATTGCTTGCTATGCATCTGAAAGCTGTACAATGACTAAGGATGACAGAATTCATGCCTTTGAGTTATGTTGCTGGAGAAGAGTATTGAATACTCCATAGACTGCTAAAAGAACAAACATGTCTCTCCTGAAGAAAGGGAAACCAGGGTGCTTCTTGGAGGCAATGGTAGTAAAACTCCATCTCACATACTATGTTGTCAGGAGGGGCCAGTCCTTGGAAAATGATATCGTTTTTGGAAAGGTGGAGGACCAGTTCACGAGGGAAGGACCCTGGAGAAGATGGATTGACATTGTGACTTGTAGTAATGGGGTCAAGAGTGTCAGAGATGATGAGACTAGCTGATAATAGGGTCATTGTTCAGAGGGTTGCTATGAGACTCTGTTGTTGTTGTTGTTAGGTGCGTTGAGTTGACAACTCATAGTAACCCTATGAACAAAAGGCCTGAGCACTGTTCATACATAGAGTTTCCGGAGGCAAGCCATTTCAGAAGTAGATGCCACTCCTGCTTCCAGGCTTGTTTTAGTTGGGAAGCTCCAGCAAACACTGTCCACCATGGGTAAACATTACCACTTTTGGCACATCAGTGTCACAGTGTTCAGCATCACAACAACCATGAGTTACCTCTGTACAGCAACACACAGACCAGTGCTATACCACCTAGTAGAATGTTTGACAGGAAAACAATTTGAACCTGGCCTGAGGGCCGCAGATTAAAATCACCCATCTTCGGCTTGGTAGCATAACTTTCTTTCCACTAGGCCAACGTAGCTCTCTCTCTCTGTCGTTGTTATTGTTGTTAGGTGCAGCGGAGTCATAACAACTCTACATGAGACTCTACAGTACATAATAAAAAGTTAGAAGGTAAGTTCCACCTGGACAAGGGTCTGCTTCACTGCTGCATCCCTGTTATCTTGAATGGACCCTGGAATATAGAGAGTATTCAAGAAATACTGTCACCTGAATGTACGAATAAAAGAATTCCAAGACTTGGCTACTCTTAACCTCGCAGGCATGAAGTCTCCTCAGGCTGCAAACGGCTCCATTCTTACTTTTATCACCATTCCCTTCTCCTCCCCAGTCTGCACTACCAGGTCTTTCCCCAAAAGGAGTTCCCAGTCACGGGCCTTCGTGGGTACAGCCCCTGCCCCCGCTAGCCAGAGCAGGCAAGCATCTGGGCTTCCCTTTCTGCTCCACTAATTAGCCTTTTAACTCGTGCTGGCTTATTTTTGCCGCGCGATCTGCTGGTTTATTTTTATCCACCTCTCCATAATGGTATCGGGGCTGTTACTC